ATTCCCGGCCACGCTCGCCGACTGTTTCTGGCAGTACGGCTAGCGGCGTTCTGCTAACTCTCGGCCGATTGCTGAATGCCTGTAGGCTGTCGAAAAAGAACAGACAGGCAAAATGAGAGACACACAGAGAGATAAACAGATAGACAGGCAGTCAAACATAAAATAGACATACATACAGACGGACAGACAGGACAGTGACAGATAGGTAATGGAAGGACAGTAAGAAAGAAGGACAGACAAACATTCAGGCCAGGGATATACACTGTCAGGTGGACATTAGATAAGTTAGATAAACAGACAGACATAAAGGCAGTAATACAGACAGAGTTTCACGCGAAGATAAAGACAGACAAATACACAGGCAGAGGGTACATTTAGACATACAATAAAACAGCCATACATACAGAGGGACAGACAGTTATACAGACAGACTTACAGACAGACAAGAAAATAGTCAGAAAGACAAACAGCAGACAGACGAAAGCATTTTGAAAGTGGGAGGGTGATTATCTCGTTCAAGCTTGTCATATGAGGATTGTCACCCAAAAATACTTGAAAGACAAGTAGGTAGACAGACAGGCAGGCATACAATAATACCGTCAAACAGACAGACTTGCAGGCAGGCCTATAGCCAGAAAGACAGATAGAAACAGAGACAGACAGACTGACAGATAAATATATACGCATACCTACAGTCAGACATATAACCAGACCGGCATACAAAGACAGAGGGGAAGACAAAGAGAAAAATAGACACAGGTTTAGAGGGACAGACAGATAAGACAGGCGGCAAAACAGACAACCACAGGGAGATAGACAGAAAAGCAGACAGACAGGTAATGCAGACAGATAGGATGACTGACAGACATACAGACAGAAAGTCAGACAAACATAAAGGCAAACAGTCAGGCACACAGAGAGGCAATAATACTTTCAAGACAGACTGACAGACAGGTAGATAGATAGACATACAGGTAGGCACACAGATATACACAGTAGTTATACAATAAGACTGCCTTCTAATAGCCAGATTGATAGACAGACAGTAAAACATACAGACAGATAGAAAGACAGAAAGATAAACAGACAGACAGACTAACATAAAGACATATAAGCAGACCGACCGACAGAGAGATAGACGGACAAATACACAGACAGTTGAGATATACATACGGAAAGGATACACAGACATACAGAAAGCCACACAGACAGTCAGACATTTAGAAAGACACAGAAACAGTGGAACATCGAAACCGTGCGGATGCATAATCAAGCAGCTTGCGAACATTTTTCCGGCAAACTCGCTTCGTCTGTTGAGTAAATTCATAAAGTTAGCGCCACATAGTGGGTGAATAAGTAACATACCGGCACGTGGTGACATAAAAAGAGGAAAAGTCGTAGAAAGGCGAAGCAAGCGGTGGAGGCAGCGGGGAACGGGTGCTCGCGCTCCTATTGGGTGGTTTACCTTCCGATATTCCTATTTTCCCGCGGAATTATGCGTATCTACGACGAAAAGCTAGTGCGGCAACCAGCTGATTTCCAGTCGTGAAGCTGCTGGTCTACCTGGACCAATTACTAGGCTGGCGATGGAAGCTCTGGTGGAAATCGACAGCCTACAGGCATTCAGCAAACAGTCGGCGATCGTGGCCGGGGGTGGAATTTTGGTAGAGATCGGTAAAATCCCCAGCCGAACTGGTAAAGGTGTTGGGGGGATTGATTGACGGGCTGATACCACCCTGCATTGAGTAAAAACCGGCAGCTCAGCACATCAACCAGGGTATGAAAGATGCCCTGGTAAGCATTAAGGAGATTCAAATGCAGCTAAGCAGGAGGATAGAAAGTCCACCTAGCGGACCTTTCAAGTGCATGGAAAAGCGTGCGTTTACGCAAACAACGCCAATCCTCATTTCCTATAGCAAAGTAGCCAGGGAAAAGGCCACTCCAGGTGGGCAAAAAAGAGCCTGGACAGGACAACCAGTCCTGAAGAACGTGGAAAGGCCCCACAGAAGAACTCGCCCAGACACTGTTGTAATCGGCGGCACCAAGGGAGATTCGTACAGCCAGATCCTGAACTTGGAAACAAGGAGGGAAGACTCAAAGCTGGAAGAGGTGCGCTCCAGATACGTAGAATCAGGTGTACGTCCAAGGGAGAAGTTCTTCTGGAGCACGATGTTTCTGCTTGCTTGCTTGTTGAATTCAGAAACTGGTCCTTTTACCAAAACCCAGTAAGCCACAGGAAAATTCGTCGTCTTATAGGCCAATATGCCTTAGCTGGAGAGCTGCATTAGCACTAGATTGCGGGAAGCCATCTCTGCAGCAGAGGACCTCTCGCCAATGCAGTTTGGCTTTCGGAAGTTGAGATCAAAGAGTAAGGCTTAATGATGACACTGGACATCAAAAATGCTTTCAACTCGGCGCGCTGGGACGTGACTCTACAGGCTCTACCAAATCTTGGAGTACCGGACGCGCTAATATGCATCATTAAGTTCTACTTTTGAGATTGCACACTGTTATACGGATAGAGGAGTTATAGAGCATGCGATTACCCCCAAGAAACAGTACTGGGGCCACATCTGTGGAATGCTATATACAATGTCAACGTCAGCCGACTAGCTTTGCGGATGATATAACAATTGTCATAGCGTCTAAAACTCTCAAGGATGTAGAGCACCTCGGAAACTCAATGTTGGCCGTCATTGAGCAGTGTCTTTCAACGGTCGGCCTCGACATAGCAAGCCACTGGACATAGAAACACTGGATACATGGCAAAGGCGCTGAACACAGTCCGTAAAGGGAGGCTGGACTTATCGTATCATCCAGGACATCAAGCGATAAGCTTAGGAAACACGGAGAAGTCAACTTCTGGCTTACCCAGATCCTTAGCGGCGATCAGGACCCTGCGAACCGCAGGATCAAATATATCACTCCAACTTCCTTTTGCCTTGCTTTTCGTATCCTATATTAATGTTTCTATACCACCCTCCAAACCGAACATATCCCTAAATATATACAAAATAAATTATCCAAAAAAAAACATTAGGCAGTCAGGCAGACAGATAGACAGACAAACAGATAGGCAGACAAACAGACAGGTAATAATATTACCAAGACATACTGACAGTTAGGTAGACACGATGACTTACAGACAGATAAGGAAATAGTCAGAAACAGATAGACAGATAAACAGAAAGACAAACAGACAGAAAGACATAGAGATAAACAGACTAACATATAGACATATAAGCAGACCGACCGACAAAAAGATAGACAGCCAGGGATTTACCCTGTCAGGTAGACATTAGATAAGCTAGATAAACAGACAGACATAAAGGCAGTAAGACAGACAGAGTTAAAAAAAAAAATTCAGAAGGGTTGGCAGACAGTAAGACAGACAAAGACAAACACACAGGCAGATGGTACAGGTAGACATACAATAAAAAAGACATACATACAGAGGGACAGACAGTTATACAGACAGACTTACAGAAAGGCTAGAAAATAGTCAGAAAGTCAAATAGCAGACTGACGAAAGCATTTTGGAAGTGAGAGGGTGATTATCTCATTCAAGCTTGTCAAATGAGGATTGTCATTCATAAATACTTGAAAGACAAGTAGATAGGCAGACAGACAGGCAGGCATACAATAATACCGTCAAACAGACAGACTTGCAGGCATTCCTATAGCCAGAAAGACAGATAGAAACAGAGACAGACAGACTGACAGATAAATATATACGTATACCAACAGTCAGACATATAACCAGGCCGGGATACAAAGACAGACAGGAAGTCAAAGAGACAAATAGATAGGGACAAATAGATTCTTCCCAAACGAACTCGCAGCTTATTTCGCGGATCCGAAAAGTGAAAGTTTAAATCGTTATTGCCACTAAGAAAGATAAGTCAAAAATTTAAGCGCAATATTTTAGGTATTTATAATAATATATTTAATAACTATAAACCACTTCTTAGACATAAAAAACAAAAAAAGGTACAAAGCAAAAACATAACTTTTAGTATTTTTTATGCCGCAGTTGAAAACTTCCTCATACGAATAGCCTGGTTCAAAGATTTTCAAAAATTCTCTATACAAATTAAGTCTAGTGATTAGGCTGATGCAATCACCACATGAGGACATTTTCTAGATAGCTTAGCACTTGACAACGCCTGTTAAATACATCGGATAGTTTTGTAGAACGAAAAGCGATCGCCCATGCCAAGATACAAAAACCAAAAAGTTTCATACGATGTCGCTCGTCGATGAAACCTAGTCAATGTAGTTGTGCATCCTACAACAGCTACCCAAGTTTCGGCCATTTTGGACTTGCAGTTTTTAGCTGACAGCCGTTTCATTGAGTAGATATATGTATGTAAATGTTTTTGTGAAAAATCTTTTTGTTTTTTGATGGAGTTGGTTCCCCTTTTCGTCTTCAATGGGAACTCATCTTTCGTCTCGTCAAAAGCATTAAAACGGAAAAAGAAAAATACTAATAAAAATATTGTTACCCCAAATGAACTGTATAAAATAAGCTGTGGCATAAATATACTGTAAATGTTGTACCTTTTTTGTTTTTATTTTAGAAAATACCGAAAATATTGCGTTTAAATTTTTTAGTTATCTTTTTTAGTTTATCCATAAAAATGATTTGAATTTTCATTATGCAGCAGCTCATGCAGATCAAGGCGTAAAAGCTATAGCTAATGCAATAGGTCAATAAGAATTTAGAAGAATCAAATATTTTGTATCTTTGATCAAATGATGATTTGCGAAACTCTATATTTAAAAAGTCTGCTCTAATGGCGTCGTAGCTTGCTGGTAAATTATTGTAATAAGATATTTCTAAAAACTTTTTTTAACGTAAGCTTTAGATAAGAGACCTCAATTAACGCTTAATGCAATTTAATTATTTTAACCTACTCATAACACTTGTACTTTATTTTTTTTAATATTTGTGTCTTAAATATTATTTTTGATCACTTCCCAAAGAATAAAAATAAAATCATCCATTCCAGCTGACACTTTTCTATAGCTTAGCATTTAAATAGTAATAGTAAAAGTAAATATTTAAAAATTACAAAAAAGGCTCGATGTTACAAACTGCACTGTTCCACTAGCGCTGCTAAGTGTGTGCCGCTACCGTGACCGATCTAAAGTTTTGTGCACTTTACAGCGTTTATATTATATTACTTATTCGACTTATCCAGTCTCGTACGTCTGACGTACATACATTGTATGTGGAATTGCAATTTTTTTAATTCAATACACTAAAATAATTTAATTTAACGAATACAATATTCTTGCCAAGTTACAATAATAAAATCAAATAAAAAACAAACCATTAAAATTAAATATTGTAAAATGGATAGGAATGTTCTGGAATGGAAAAAAGTGAATCTTTTTGATATTAGTAAATTACCATACATACAATTTCCGATTACTTCAGAAATATCTTCCTACTGCTTTAACGAATACAAATCCAGTACAGCGGATATAAAAACCAACTTAGTAATATGCGATAAAAAAGGAAATATTTTAATATACCTATCAAATTGGGAATGTATTTCTTTTAATTCCCAACCCACACGGTCAGTTATCACTCTATGTTCCATGGCATCTAATAACTGGCTAGCGACTGCCTCCCTAACAAATAAGTATGGGATTCACATTAATATTTACGACCTAGGAAGGTTAACTAGAAAGCAAGGAGCTCCAATAATTGCATCTGCATATTTTCAAGGGGCAAGTACTCCTTCTTGTATTAATGCAGAATCCATTGATGATAAATTGCTTGCGCTTGCCGTTGGTTTCGAGAATGGTAATATTCTGTTGCATTACGGTAGAATAAACAAGCTATTTTCTCCAGATATTCGCCAACATACTGTTTCTGAGTACGCAATAAAAGGAATACATTTCGACTTTAAGGCCGAACAACCGGATATGCCCATTCATCTCATGTTTATAACATGTTTTATAGGAGTTTATTGTTTCGTGTTAAAAGAAAAAAGCATGATGGAGCACAAATTTACCCTCGACGATGATAAAAAAAATATCAATCATTGCAGCATAATGCGCAGGGCTTCTGTCGGCTGTTTTGATTATTCGATGTTGGTAGTGGGACGGGGAGACGCTATATATTGCTACACCTCTGAGGGAAGAGGTCCTTTGTTTGCCATCAAAGGCACAAAGAAACACCTTGCTTGGATAGGTCATACCCTCATTGTCTCCACCGGAAAGTCAAACTTAAAGGAAAGCTTGTCAACTTTAATTGCATTAGATACTGAAAACAAAATAATAGTTTTTCAAAACCAATTTCAAAACTTGTCTTCTATCATTTATGAAAATGATTTTTGCTATATCATAACCAATTCTAGTGTCAAAAATACTGAAAACGTATTTGTTTTAAAAGAGATCAATGTGTGTAACAAAATTAAACTTCTAAATGAAAATAATATGTATGACGTTGCTTTGAGGTTGTTACATCAAGAAGGGTGTACTTTCTCTCCAGAAGCTGCTATGGTACATTTTCAGTTCGGAAATAATTTACTGCTGAAAGGCGACATTAGTACAGCAGTTCAAGAGTTTATTAAAACAATTGGTTTTACTAAACCATATGATGTAATTTCAAAACTTTTAGATTCCAAACACAACAGTTACCTAACAGACTACTTAACTGAGTTGAAAAAAATATATCCGAATTCCAACCTTACAGACCTTATTGAATGCTGTACTACTCGTAAGCGGATTAAGCAGGAAATTCAGCTGTTAAGTGATCGATTTGAACCCCTCCCTGAATTAAAACATCTTTCAAAATTGTCAAAACTTTATTTCGAGTGTACTCTTAAAAATCAGAGCAAAGCTAAAGCAGATCATATATTGAATAGATTTTTACAATATGGACCAGAAAACCTAACGGTAGATTCCTCTATATATTTGGATAATATAAAATCGGAGAATGTAAAAAATTCAGAATGTATTCTTTCTTTTTTTTCCATTTTACCAGATCATAACGAATACTGCGCCAAAATTTTGGGTACCATCATTGAAACGTTTCCACTATGTGATGAAAGGTTATATTTTTATTTATGTGTTCTATATCTTTCACTCTTGCAAGAAAGTAAGGTTGCTCCCAAACTAGTTTTAGATTTTTTAAAAAAAGAGTGCTTGCGTACAGATAAGTTTTTAATTGTATGCAGACTTAATTCGTTTTTAAATAGAATACATGAAATGCATAACCATCAACAGAATGCTAACATGTTGAATAGAAAAACAGTACATAAATGTATACATACCCTTATGAAAAATAATATAGACGTGGATTATAATTTGAATATAAGTAAAAGATCATTTCTTATGATGCTAAAAAGTGTTTGCCATCATGATGAGATAAAAACACTAAAAATAAAACCTATATTTATGGAAAAAGATGTTCGTGATGTAGTGTACTCAGCAAATGAAGAAAAGTTAATGGAATATTACAAGAATAAAATTAGGAGAACTGCTTTTATACTCTCTCTCTATACAAACAATCCAATACAATTTCGAAATGATACATGTGGCATTTGTTGTGAAACTTTGAAAATGCGTTCCATTTATTTTGTTTGTCAACATTCTTTTCATAAAGAATGTCTTAACTACGCTTCCTCAAAACGTCATAAAGACTTTATATGTATTGTATGCAAAGCAAACATGAATTATTTGAAAAAAAAAAAAGAAATATTCTTACACTCGGATTCTGCAAATATTATTTCAGTAATTTCGAAAGTAGTTGCTATAGGAGCCAAGAAACTTGAAGCTGATAAGTGATTTTAAAACTTTGAAAATCGAAGCACATATGACTGACCCAAAAATTTCGGTATTATTGTATCGTTGATCTGTTGGTTATTCAATATTATTTCATAAAAATAGTAATTACAATTATAATAAATAAATATATTGTAGAATGCTGAACTTGTTGAATTCATTACTTGAGTTTGTATGTGTGAGTAAAAATTTATATTAGTTTATATTGACAACGCAAACAATTGTGATTTACAGGGATTTATTTTATTTAAAGTTTCGGGGATATAAAACGAGAGGTAGTTTGTTCAGTAACTTGTTTTTTATTTCACACTTTTCTTACATGCTACGACATAACAGTTATGAGGGAGGGGAAATTCGACTGGTCGCGTTGTCGAACCATACCTTCTCCGGAATCCCGCACGATCCATGAACCTTTAAAAAGCCCATAAAATAACCGAACAATGTGTGTCAATAGTTGCGAGTTTTATCGAAAGCATGCACCGAACGGTTTGGCGACATGCTTTCTGGCAGGGGTGCTCAAATAAATACAAGAAGGTGTGCACATTTGGTGACGTTATTGTGAATACCTAGTGTGCGCGCAAGAAACGAGTTAATTATTAAAGAGGTGGGTGAGTGACGGCGCTTATAAACGGATTGACAGTGGACTGACACTGAACGTTTCATCTGGCCATTCTTGATTTTGAGTGTTACAACCCGCACCAACGGCTCTCCGGGAAGCCCGATATCCACTCGCAAGATGATATCGACTCGCTTTGATCGGGAGAAGTATGGATCCGCCCGTGGGGGCCTAGTATATGTTCCCAACGGTGTGGCATAAAGCTTAGGCTCGGAAGACAGTAAATAACTGAATTGAGAACATATGCCGATGGGACTTCTACTGAAATATCAGGGTTAAAAGTATTACTTATCTCGAAGGTGACTGTATAATTTCCCGCCCCCCAGACCCATTCCAAAAATAGATGCACGGGTGCTAGTCCGTTTCAGATGCAGGGACTGCACTACGTGATCCGAGACAATAATTGCCGCAGATCCTTGGTCGACTAGCGCGGTTATGACTGTATGCAGACCGTTGTACGGGGAGATCATTTTTCGAAGAAAAATTCTTGGCTGAATAGCATCTGAAAGACGCGTCTGGGTTTGTCTGCATGCGCTCTTGAGATACGTTCTTCATGGCAGCAGGTGCACTAAGATCCGGCGCCACAGGTCGGACCGGATGCGGCGGTACGTGGCTGAACGATTGATTATGAGAAAGAACTGGGAAATCGAACAATCCTGGGCAACGCGTAGATGGCGTTCATGTCATCATCATTCCCCAGGCCACTGAATAGTTTTCTTCCGTGAGCTGCATTTGACCGATGTCGTTATCGGGATTTGCTGGCAGCGATTCCTTGAGAAAGTGCTACTTTTGAACACTACTCAAATTGCTGTTGTTGTGGATGAGGCTCGTGAGGGAAACATAGTATCCTAGCCAATCGACCCACGGGCCGGAAAATTTAGAAACGGACATCAGCGGCATGTTCAGCCGCACTTCCGCGTCCGCGCCCCCAGGCACTGGTGGTGGAGGTGCGCGAGCCTCTGGTCCAAGCTAGTCCAAATCCTCAGTGAAAGCGCAATATGTATCCATGAACCACTCCTCGAACTCCGACTCGAAATCCCTAGTTGCAGAGGTCGAATCAGAAAATCCTTTCAGGTTTACTAGCACCGAATCCGTCTCCCTGACAGCTATCCGTAGTTCCTCCCATTGTTCCAGCCGTTTTTTCAAATAAAAAAATTGTGCAATATTAATTTAAGGTACTGGAATCTATTTTGTCGTCTACGGAGTTCAAGAAACTGTCCTCTTTAAGGCTCGGTATCGTCGTCCTCCTTTTCCGTGCAGAGCCGGCTTGTACACTTGGCTCAGCTGTGATTCCTTTATGTACAAGAATACCTCCCGAATGAAGCGAAGATAAAAGAACGTCTCGAAGAAACTGTCGTCGTTGCGCCTATATACCGCCGTCCTCTTTTCTCGCGCTTTGCAGAACGCGCATCGTCCCAAAGTGCTGATCGCTCCCCGTTTTCAGCTTCCAGCACACTGGGACAAGCAGTAAACTTAACACAGGGTTTGATTGTTTTATTATTCAACGAAAGGGCACAGTACGTGCACAGAATGTCAAAGGCTTTCAAGAGTCTAGGTAAGGGGTGCTAAAATTCGTCTTCGGGCAGAGCATTTACTCACACAAATACAAGAAAGCGTGAACTTATTTAGTAACGTTTTTGTTTTGGCATGCAGCTGTGCACTCAGAGAAAAAATCATTACTCATTTTACTGACACGCCAAGTGCGAAATATACTCTAAATTGCAAACATAAGATATAAGGAATGAATTCCAGTGGAAGTGTTCAAAGATGTTCCAGGAAGAAACAAAAACAAAGAATATTGCGTTTGGTGACGGAATGAGGCGAAGAAGAGGAAAACGAAAAATTGTTAGTGTAATATCGAGGCGAGCGCTTGAATCTTATGGGCGAGCAAGTCCCTATGCTCCGAGCATTTACAAAAACATATGAGCACTCAGAGCGTAGGCGTCTCTTAATTAATCTTTGTGACTTATGTTTGCAATTTGAGCTTATTTCGCAGTGGAATTGAAAACAAGTTTTTCTTTCCCTCAGTGTACAGCTGTAAACCAACACAAAAGCGCCCCGCTTTCTTGTATTTGTGTTAGTAAATGCTCTGCCATAAGACGACCTGTTTTACTTATTTATTTCTCCTAAACCTGTTAAGGTAATGGTTAATATAAAAAGTGTTACAATGATTAATTTACACAGCTATGGCTGCGGAGTATGATTTAAGACTGAATTAAGGGTCTTATCCGGCTGCAGCTAGAAGCCTTTGTCTGGTTTCAGCGCTGTCGCCAAAGTACCGGATCAGCATTGGGTATCCGGTTGCTGACGATCACTGCTCACTCTGTTCGGGTTACGGGCAATTGCCACCAGAGTGTGGAGTCGGCGGTTTCTTTATCACGCGTGTTGTCCACTGCAGGCCGGACCTCGGGTGATTGTCCCCGGAATGCGGAGTCGGCGGTTTCCTTGTTCCGCGTGCTGACCATCGGATGTGGCCTGCAACTCGGCAGTTTCCCAATTTGGGATCTGGGTGTGTTAACTTCTCCTCCTTTTAAGTGTTCGCCTTCCCGGTAACCCGATAGTTCCAAGTCATCGTTAGTTCCTGATTTCGCGTGGCATTTGGTCTTTAGATGGTGGTAGCTGAGCAAAATGGTGGAGCACAGCAGGAGGAACCCGAGTAGGGCGAGAGAGTAGCTGAGGAAGGAAAGTTCTTCCCTAACGCTCCCAATGTGGTGGAGGTTGACCATGGCTATGGCCGACACAGCGGGTTTTTTCATCAAATATCCCAGCTGGTTTGCGAACCAATTTCCGTTGAGGCCAGATATCTTTTGGTCTCGTCCTTGGTCGTCGGTTATGGTCATGTTGGCCTCGTTCACTATGAGGGTGCCGTGGTCTACCACAGTTATTGCATCAAGGTGACCTGGGAGCGTGGAACAGTGCGAAATAACTCTGGAAACTAATTGCTCCCTGCACCGATTGTGGTCTTGCTATACCTGATGTTGAGATTGCCGTTTTCTAAGTCTAGGATCTTGTTGTGGTGCTGGACCTGATAGACTGTTATCTTCTTACAAACAAGGATTATGGAATTTGATAAAAAAATGAATGATATCGGAATTTTGAGGAATGCTTTGGCGAGATAGCGTCTGCCACGAGATATTCCTTTTCTGGTTTAGAAATCAGTTTTGTATCATGATCCTCAATAATCCCTTTCCAACGCTTAAGCTTTGCATTGGGATTTTTTTCTGAGACAGCTAGTGGTTGATGATCGGTAAAGATCTGCAATCCTTTTACTTCGTTTAGGTAATGCCGGAGATTTTTAAGTGCACAGACAATGGCTCTCGCTTGTTGGTTGCGTAAGTTCTTCGCTGTCACGTAGGGCGCGTGATATCATTGTGATTGGGCCCCAAGTCCCAAGTCCGAAGCCTGATGCGTCCGTAGCTAAATCGAATGGCCTCTTAAAGTTTGGATATGAGAGCAAAACGTCCTCTGATGCTAAGATTTCTCTCAGTCTCTCAAAAGTTTTTCTCTGTTCCATGGTCATGTTGAGATCTTTCTTGATTGATGTTTACTAACTTTCCCGTTTTCTCCCTTTAGAATGCTTGTTAGGGATCTTGCGATAGTCCCGAAGTTTTTTATGAAACACCTGTAGTAGCTTGCAAACTCTAAATAAGATATAAGGTGAAAAAGTTCCTTTAGGTGGGGGAAATTCCTTAATAGCTTTTACCTTTTCAGGTGAAGTTTCGAGTTCCCCTTTTTACACTAATAAGCCCAATTACTCGACGCTCTTTTAAAAGAACTTTGACTTCTCTTGGGATACTCTCATACCTCCTTCTAAGAGCTTGGTTAAGACCCAGTCCACACACATGGGGTGGTGGTGGTACGTTTTGGAGTACACCGGTTTCCCACCAGTTTTTATTGTGGCTATAGTGAATGAATCCATATGAATGGAAGTGCTTCGTTTGGATCAGCGAAGGCTTTTTGGTTTCTGACAATTATTTTATCGAAGGTTTCTTTAATTGCCAGGGTAACACCTTCGTCATCAATTTTAATAAAGTAGACTTTTTCTGCCCTTGTGAATCGTATCTTTTCATCTCCGTTGTTTGTGTGAAGAACATTCCCGGTAAAATAGAGTTTCGCATTCCGTTGTTTAAGCAAGTCGAGGCCGATAATACCATCGAAGTCTTTAGGGTTATTTAGTATAAAAGAAGTGTTTTATGTTAAACTAAAATTTTTATAACCGTTACTCGTAGAGTAAAAGGGTATACTAGATTCGTTGAAAAGTATGTAACAGATAGAAGGAAGCGTTTCCGACCCTATAAAGTATATACATTCTTGATCACGATCAATTTTATTCTAAAAAAACACAGGAATCTTCCTCATCAAGATCTTCTTCTATTTCAGTGGCACAGGCCTGAGCAACGGCCTCGTTATATTCGTCGTCAGATTTTTCTTCTGGCATAAAGTTTATTTTTTGTTGCCTTCTTAACTGCCTTTTTTGCCATGTTTTGGGCTATCTAAATATCCTCCTAGAGGAGGGATCGA